CAGCCACAACCCACGTGCCCGCGTGGGAGGTCTGGCTTTGGCGGTGGGATGAGAGCCATGGGGGGATCATCAGCAGAGCATCTCAGCACTGGTCCAGCATCCCCTGCCCAGCTGGTTCCCTCCAGCTCAGCGACGGAGATCTCGGTCGCTGCCCAGCCCCAGCGCAGGCTGTGCAGCAAACGCGGCACGGGGTGACATGTGCTTGCTCTTTGCTTTATGAAAGCCTGATCACAGCTGGTGCCGGCACCCTGCCGCTGCCCCCAGCTCTGCCTGCCACTTGTCTTCCTTTCTCCCAGGCTGGGCGTTCTCTTTGCACCACTCCTGCCAGCCGTGCAGATGCTGAAGCTGGTGCTGCTGTTCTATATCAAAAAGGTGTGAGCAGTCCCCCATCCCCGCAGCTCCCCATGCGTCCCCACGACGGGCAGCCCTGCAGCAATGCTGCATCCTGCCGCAGACCACCTCTGCCACAGCAGAGATGCTGCACCGTGCAGTGAGCAGTGCTGTCGTCGTGGGAGGGAGGAGGTGTTGCTGGGGACAGGGTGTCCCCGAGCTCGCTCAGCTCCCAGTGGGTGGGAGGGATGGGACGGTGGGGTGGGGGCAGCTCTCCCGCTTGCACCCCTGGGGCTGCTTCCCAGAAGACGGCAGCACACAGGACTCTGCTCCCTGTCTGCAGACCAGCCTGATGCATAACTGCCAGTCCCCCAGCAAGCCCTGGCAAGCATCTCGCATGAGCACCGTCTTCATCACCCTGCTGTGCTTCCCATTCTTCCTTGGTGCAGCCGTCTTCCTCTTCTACACCATCTGGTCGTGAGTACCCACCAGACCACGGCTCGGGGCACAGAACTGCCAGCTGCCCGGCGAAGGAGAGGGGCTTGGGGAGACAATGCCTCCCTGGCCCTGATGAAAGGTCGAGCACGTGACGCCCAGCTCAGGGCTGTGCGATGCTGCCCAGGCGGGGAGATGCTGCCCAGCCGCTGGTCATTGCACAGAGCATAGCAGTGATTGGCCTGTGTCCATTTCTCCCAGCTGTTGCCAGATGTTCCTGATGCAGGACAAGGGGATGGGGGCCCCCTCGTCCAGCCACTGGGGATGGCTGGGGCAGGCAAGGCTTGGTCCCTGGAGGGTTAGCAGCCAGCTGGGCTTCCCATTGCTCTGACCAACCCCATCGTCTGTCTGCTCAGGGTGCGGCCGTCAGAAACCTGTGGTCCCTTCCAAGGGCTGGAAACCATCTATGAGTCAGGGAAGACCTGGGTGCAAGTGCTGGAGAAGTCCAACCCAAACATCACCTGGTTCGCCTGGGTCCACCAGCACCTGGTGGAGAACACCTTCCTCCTGTTCTTCATGTCCGGGGTCCTGCTGTGAGTATGAGCCTGAGGCTGAACCCTGGGCCCATGCTTTGAGGGACCCCCTGTCGCAGCCCTGACCAGGGGGCTGGGAGCCGGGGTGTCCCTCCAGAGCCCCATGTCCCGGCCTG